TACTTCCTCATTCTCCTGTGTGCGCTCACGATGTCCACATCTGGGAGATGTGAATCATACACAATTGGCAATTCCACACTAAGTGGATATAACAAAAACAAGTGGGTATTTTACATAAATTGGGTGTTTTCTATGTCTACTATCGTCATGTGGGCTTCTGAAAATAAACACAGATTCAATATCTGAAAAAAGTGGTGGAAAAGGGGATAAATAAAAAAATACAACACAAATTCATCTATAGTTACAATTTATTTAAAGGCCGCCTTTCTCTTATTTAAACTCTGGAGACATCAATGTTTTGAGTAGTACAGATCTTTATAAAAATAGTGTCTTTGTCCTTACAAAAACTGCCTACATATACAGTGCAAACTGCCTAGATTTTTCCCAAAAAAGCATAAAAAATAATCACAATATTTACATTTTTCTTCAACAAGGAAAATACAGAGAACAGCAGGGATTTCAGTATTTCATTGGTTATAAATCATCTGTAGACATTTGGGATACCAGATTTAACAAAAAAGATTGTTGCTAATTCTACAGATACAACTTAACTTTCCTTCTTGAAGACAACAGTGCTTAATGACTTCATATCATCACTCACTGTTAAATGTTTGCACAAAGTTTTTTTTAATTTAATATTTACATATTTACTCACATTTACTCACATAAGTGGTTACTCTGGTTACTAAGTGTAAACTGTGGACAGGTTTATTTTGCAACAGGGAAGGTACTGGTGAGATTCCTGGGACAAAGCTAGGAATACAAGGTGTATTTCAGATACTGTGGATAGATATAAAAAATCTGCATACATTTTCTTCAGTTTGTTAAAAATTGCTTTGCATTAGGCACATGAGGGCTCTGCACATAGGTGTTGGGGAAAAAAACGAGAGTGTACATTTAAAATAACAGTCTGCTGAAACAGATCCAGAGATCCAGCCACCATACTGAAGATTATATTTCTCACAGCTGTTGCTAAAGGTGATTTTTTAAAATTACATTGATGTCAACACATCGCAATTCTATCCAGCAGTCCTATTTGAGAAGGGTATCAAGCCTGAAATTTTCTCAGCCGCCTAACTGAAGTGCGGTTTATCTAATCCCAACAGTGCTTTTGTACCAATGGCTAGCATTTGTACGTAGGAATGGAGCACAGCTGCTACCTAATGAAGAGAGTTAAACTTTTAAAATCGTGCAGAATTCCAAAACTATTCTTCTATCAAATCATATTAATGTTGAAGAATACCAACTCATTTTCACTTTTGTTTTCAAACACCTGAAGAACCACGGGCCATTCATCGGAGACTGAAACCTTTGGATGAAAGCCACAAACCCAGTAAGATGACATCTAACATGAGGCAGGCAGTGTGTAATTAAACAGACTTAACATCAACCAGACTTAATTTAATTGAAAACATCCTAAAGCAATATTCCTAGAATCTTAGCAGCTACAGGTTTGTAATTAAAGATAACTGCATATAAATATTTTACAAATTGGTAGACCTACAAAGAGAAGTAAAACTAGACCAGGAAAGCATTTTTGTACTTTAATAAAGGAAAAATTTATAAAACCATTCCTTATATTCATGCCACCTTATTTAAAAGAAAAACTAGAGAGCATGTGTATTATGGCTTCTCATGTCTTTAAAAGGAATAATTACGACATTAACATTGGATAATGAAGTACAAGAGTCTTGCACAGCATTTAAATCTAGTCTTAATTAGCTTTTACTGCAGTCTTAGATCGAGGGGTGCTATTCATATTAAGTGCTTTTCCAACTTTTACAAATCTATAACGGGAATAAATATTAATGCTATCTTTTGACATGAGTTTTGTCCCCTTAAATGCATATTAACCATTACATATCACCTAATGCAAGAAAAAGATGTTATCAAGATGAGAATGGATGTACTTTGCTGTCAGTCCACTTAGGCTTTCCTACCAATCCCTAACAATGGGGAAATCACCTTTACGATTACCTGCACCAGATCAGAGAATTTTATATTATTTATTATTACACTGGACATAAATGATCAAAACAGCACTGGTGATTTCACTTTTACAGAATTACACCATCCGGCTGTACTGGAAAAGTTTATAAATGTTCACTGGCAAAGCAACACTACTGAAAAGAAAATTGCATATTACATTAAGTGTTTGGAAAATAAAACTAAAAACTATTAATCTCCATTATTAGCTTTTAACGTGAGTCAGTCTATATAGTGCAAATATATGGCACTCTACTCAATAAGTTAATTAAAATGCAAAAAGGTCTACATTAAACAGTCAACGATGGAATTATACACCAGGGACTGCTTTTCTTCTTACAACTTTTTTTATCCTCTCAATTGTTTTCTGTTTATGCTATAAGAGACAAATTTTCAAAATATTAGTAGTATTAGTCTCACTCCATAGGCTACCTCCTGACTCTATGAGTTTTATGCTCCGGTCACACCAATAGTACCATTATCTGCTATGGGCTATTTATCACACATTATTGAGTAACTTTAAATTAAGAAAATATTTAACAAAAAGAAAAAAAAATCTCCGCCAACACTTCAAACTCTGTTCCAATAGGCATAGTGTGCTGTAACACTGCTCTCTGCAACAACAGCATATAAATTTGGAAGGAAGTATTATTCATCATCCAAGTTAATACATTTTGCAAAGATACACATTCTTCCTAGTTTTTCATCAACGTGGCATTTCAAACAATTAAACGTTTGACTCGTGGTTCTGGGCAGGTGGCTTGGAGGTTTCCAGTGCTGACCTGCATAGGAGAATCAAGACTTTTAAATGCTAAGAAAGAGTCTTTAACAAAGAACCTCCCTCATCAGAAATGCATATATGGGCACCCAGCCAGCAAAGGCACTTGGAACACAGATTGAGATCTGTGGTCCAGATGTCACCCTCCCTTTCACAGAGACCCAAAGGTGAAAAAGGATCTTTGTTCTGTCCTAGGTGGGTGGGAAAGCATCTTAGTTTGAACTACATGATCTCCTAGCTGAAAACCTAAAGTAACACTCCACAACAACAAAGGATCTTGCCAGAAATAGCGCCTGCCCTCTGACCCCTGCCCTATTTTTGCTTTGGTGCTGTTCTTAGTGTTGCAGTAAAGCTAATTCCTATCATTAATGTTCCAATTTTTTCTTCTCTACACAAACCACAGAGCATGCGAGATACTGTGAAGTCCAGAAGGATAAAAGCGGTCTGTCCTGACACAAAGTCTTTAAGAAGTATCACTCACAAAGGGAAGGGATCTGTCTATGAGTACATGCAAAAACAAACCAGAGATGTATTGCAATATTAGGAACAAAGCCACTGAGACTATTAATGCATGCAGAGATGGCACAAGATAGTATCCAATGTTTCCTTTCCCTGGCTTCCATGAATGATTAATTTAGCACTTAATCAAACATGCTAAAATGGAACTAATTAAAACTCTAGCAACTACAAGTATCTTACATCTTTAAATATGTGATGCATCTTTATGAACAGACAATATCCCTTACATTCTACAATTGCACTACCCTTCAAAAAAATGAAGAATAAGCAGAAGGACAGTATAATATCCCTTATTCCTACAGTAAGAATGGTCAAGGGTAGCTCTCCCACTGTGCAAGAGAGCAGGTTAAGACTCTGCCCTTGAAACGTGAAACAAAAACCTCTCTCCTTTGGATCTCTGTTAGGCACATCAGGTAGTGCTTTTGGATATATTCCATACATATATACAAATTAACAAGTCTTTCAAAGAAAAACCAACAATATAATTCTCCCTGATTTTTCTGCACATAATTGAGGACTACTATGAGGATGGGTGGGGTGAACCGTCTTTACTTAGATTTACAGGAGCCAGTGATTTCATGGCTTTAGAACTTAATGACAAGCTGTCCAAAGAAGGGTTACTGCTCGTTTTCAGTCCAAGGGGAGCCAGCCTGGGCATAGGCCTCCAGGAGACTTCGCCATCGTTACTGGTGCCTCTGGAGCTGGCTGCCGCTGCAGGCACAATGCCAGCTTTCATCTGCAGCAAGGGGGGAGGCGTGAGGGAACCCCCCTTGCCAGACTGGGGTGGGCTCTGTTGGCCACAGCCATTGGCCACCCTGTTACTCTTAGGAACCGAATCCAAGAGCTCGGATCCAATAACACTCTTCACATAATCCCCCCTTGCCGACTTTGGTTTGCTCTTGACATGACTTAAATCCTTGGACTTGAGCAGATCCTCGTCCAGCTGTAAGAAGAGGGGGCTGAGAGCACTGTCCTCATCTGGTTCAGCCCCACCCTCCCCTTGCTTGGAGCTGCCCTCCTCCTCTGACAGCTCTGCCCCTGGCTTCTTCTGCCCCAGCAGGCTGCGGTGGGCAAAGCGGGCCTGTGTGACAGCAGGCAGCCCAGAGCTGTCATTGTTCATCTGCTGGTTGAGAAAGACTATCTCGTTGAGCAGCGATGTCAAAGTCTCATCCTCTGAATCCTCATCCTCGTCATCGTCATCGTCTTCGTCCTCCTGGCTTGAGGCTAGGTCTCCTACCAGGGAAAGCCCACTCCTTTCATCTGATCTACCACTCTTCTCCCCATCCTCCGGGTCGTCCACGTCATCTGTGGTCTCCCGTGTGTTGTGGATGGGCATGACCCAATCTCCTGTTATCTCCCCATCGTCGAGGCCCTCTTCCTTCTTTTTATGCGACACTGGAGCTGATGAAGACTTTGGGGCATCCCTTTGCTCGGCCATGCCTGAAGGAGCCTGATCCTTTTTGAGCTCCAGACCACAATCCAAGGAGGAGCTCAGAGACTGGGAGGCTCCGTGCTCGTCTGGAATGCGTCGATTTCTCCGCTCCTTTTTGTCGGCAGCTTTCTTCGAGGATAACAGTGAGGCCAAACTGACAATCTTGGGCATGCTGAAGCCTTCCCTCACTGCAAATAAAAATATACAAATCCGCACTATTAGCATCAAATAACATTAAAATCTTTGCGAAAATAATTAAATGGATAATGCCTGCTTCTCCTCTGCTCCACAACTACCTGCTGGGTTGTCCTTTGCCTGAGCAGGTTTGGAGTCTTTGTTAGGTGCAGAGACGGGAATGGACAATTCTGGAAAGTTTTTCACCTGAAATGGAAGAGATATTCCAGGGACCTCAATAGTCACGGAAGCTACACCTGAAATGGGGGGGGAAAAAAGATTCTTAAAATCCTAAACTGTGGGCTTTCATTAAACCGTTTCATTTTACACTTCTATATCGGCGTAGTAATGACAGTAGTAATTTTAGACCAGCATTGATCCCCTAGTAAAGACACCAGTTATTTTAACAAGATTAATATCTTAAAACCATCAGTTATTGTAAGATTTAACATGCAACAAAAGCAGGAGACGGCAATTGGCTTTCAGGTCTAGCCACAGCATACCAGGGATTGACGAAATGGGCACGCCTTCAATTTCAGCAGTAAGAGCGTTTGTGTCCGAGTGCAGGATGGTGCTTGACAGAGGACTGGGTGCAGGGGCATGAGCCTTGAACGTTAAAATGCTTCCCTCTGCTGGCACCGTGCTGCTGCCAGCACTCAAGGACGGACTGGCCAGCGGAGACGACACTGAGCTGGGTAAGCCTATAGAACAGGAACAGGGAGAGATTGCTTCTTCTACTGTCATACGGCATTTTAGTCATAAAACCTGAGGAAAAAGAGGCTTGAGTCCCAATTGTCATCAGTCTACAAATAAGGCTTTTCAAAATTAAATTTACGTTTTGTCATTTCAATAAAAAAAAAAGACTCTTCTTTGGCCTCACAGTTTTGGAAGAGAAGCTGATTAAGCGTTTTTCATAAAATGATGGAGCTCAGACCACGTGACCAACCACCCAGTCACGAATGCAATTTTATCATAGGCATGGCATAGCATGGCTCATAAAGTTTCAAACATTACCGAATTCCAGTTTCGATTCAGTTTCGATCAGATACAAATTACTCAAATCTTTGTCAAAAATTCAATATGGCTCCCAAATAATGTGGCCTTGTGGTATAATTTTACTCTGACATAACATGATCCAATGGAGTTTTTTTTGGTGACTAGTGCCATAAATTTTCAGCTAAGGGTGGGTGTAACCCTGTTTTGTTCTCATTTGGGGTTACAGACTGAGAATTTCTCCCTGGCTGAAAATGGCAAAGTTCACGTGTTCGCCTTTTCTGACTTGGGTCGAAAAGTGGGTGACTGAGCTGACCTGTGGGCTGGGGGGCTGATGACCTCCTCTTGGACAGGATCAGGGGTCTTCTGACAGGTGAGCTTGGACTGGTCAGGCTGCCCATACTCAAGGCTGGCTCCGGGTGAGGCTGTGTAGTCACCGTCTTGCTACTGTTTCTCTGGGCCAACTTCTTCCGCTGAGTCTCCAGCGATTTCTGTTTGGCACAGATATACTCCAGCTTCTTGATTATCAATTCCTCCGTCTTTCCTGTAGAAAGAACATAACCAGAGTCTCAGGATAAGGAAAAATAACATATATATATATAAGAAATACATCTATATTTAATCAAGTAAATTTTAATGTACTGTACCACCAACATAAAAAATAATTAACAGGATTCAGAGGACAGTTATGGTGGATGAATATACTTAATTTCTTACAAAAGAGAAATACATTAAGGTATACCTCTAATGTACATCTCATTAAAACCAGACTTACCAGACGTCTGGGCAACCTTTTTGATGAAGACAGATCTCTTCCGCATCAGCATGTTCTTCTGTGCTTCCAGACGGTCAGACTCATCGACCAGAGCCTGGATCTCATTGAGAGCCTGAAAATGGCAAAGGATTATCAAGAACAGGAAAGGAACAGCCGTGGCAGCTCGGTTTCTGAATACTTTGGCAGGGTGACTGGAGCCTAGATGGAATCAGGTACATTTTCCCTTTGTATGGGAATCTTGAGAAGCTCCTCTTTTTCCTTTCTTCAGTTTTTAATACAGGACCCACAGAAACCCAGCCTGCTCTTCCTCTTTCAGTGGCAAAGGTGGCAGCAGTCAGTCGGTAACAAGTCCTCCACATCCTCTCCCTCCACCAGAGCTGGTCAGCCCATCCCTCACCAAAAGGGAACATTACAGACTTCCTCCTTTCTTAACAGCAATGGTGAAACATATAGCTCACACTTAAAAAGTGCACACTAAACTAGAGACAGTGGTGAAAGAATTAACTTTAAAAAAATGTATAAATCATGTACTGAACATATAATTACTTTAAAATGTGCTGCTCAGCAGTTAATCACAAAATAACATACATGGTAAATAATATAATCCCTTTAGTGCTGCCATGATATGAACACAACAGGGATTACTCAAAATACTCAAAATGTTCAACAAAACGAGTATACATGAAGTCACGTGCATGATAAAAAAATGAAAGTCAAATGGAGCCCTAATGGTAAGAGGCCACAGCAGGCCTATTATGCTCTAAATAAACACCATGGATGGAAGGAACTCACGTCACTACTTGCTCTTTACTTATCTAAAACAACCCCCCTGTAACATGAAAGTGTTTTTATAGTACTCTTGGGAGGTTTTTACATAAAGTCGAATTTACATAATCTTGTGTAACCTGGGGAGAGAGTGAACTGTATTATATTATTTTACTTATTTTGAGAATGTTTAGAAAGACAAGGGTTTGGCACAAAATCTGGAGTAATCGCAAATCTTGTGTATTAGTAAATATTAGAATTGTGGGCAGGGACAATCAAGGTGCAGGGATTAGAAATACAAAGATGACTCTCTTACCTGCCGGAGGATGTAAAACTTGGATGCCTTGGGCAGGTTTTCCAGGCCCAGCACTTTCTTCATGTTATCGAAGAGCTCCCTCAGTTCGCTGCGCCGTCGGCGCTCGTTGACCGTGTGGTTGATCCGCAGGGAGGAGGCACTTCCCACCTCGTCTTCCTCTCTGCCGCCAGGCTGGAGCTTTAGCTGAGCCAAATTAAAACATCAAGAGAATATTCACTTTGGATTTTTGCTTCGCCATTATTGTATTTTAGAAATAAACCCCCAAATTCATTAAGCCTTTAACTGTAAAAAGTCATTAAAAAAAAAACGGCATACCTTTGGTTTCATTCCAGAAGCTTTCCTCTTCGCTTCATGAATGCTCCGTCTGTGAAATAGTTTTGGTAATGTTTATATAATGGAAGTAGTTTTGTCTTTATATTAATAAATCATGTACTGAACAAAAAGTTCAGTACATGATTTATTAATCATTTATTAATCATGAATAGAAAACAAGCAGCTCAAAGTTGTCCTAGCAAACATCTCTTTTTAAGATTGGCGTCATTTTTCTCTGAATACCCGGTTTCAATACAGTAAATCCTTACAGCTGAACCTAAATCCTGAGAAGAGAACAAGGATTAACTTGCATGCATCTCACTGTCACGCAAGTTATCCGAAACCTGCAGTTCACCAATCCTGTTAACGTATTTCCAAACAAAAACATAAAACAGAAGTAAAGTCATTTTGGAATTCGAAGAGCCTCAACCTCCATCCTTACACTTTATCAAGCTTCATCTGGACAGCCACGGCCTTTAGCCGAGCAATATTGATCTTCTCGGAAAGCTCCTCAACCGTCTCGATATCGATGGCTTCATCTTCCTCACTCAGGTCAGACTCCTCCTGTTGGAGGAAAAAGGAAAGTTTGTGTCACAGGGAGATCAGCACCACACTGTTTGAACTTAACATATACCAGCGATACACATCATCTATGCAAATATAAGGACAGGTATTGTTTCTCTTACACTGGCAGGCTCATTATCCTCTTCCTCACTATCGTCCTCGCTCTCATCTTCTTCTTCCACGTCAACCTCAGAATCGCCTGTTTGTTCACCCTCCACTCCCTCCACCTCCCCCTCCTCCAGGTTTCGTACCTCTTCCTTAATCTCCACTCTGGAGCTCTCACCACTTTTGGTGCGAGTCCAGTCTTTAGTATCCACAGAGGGATGAGTACATGGTTCAGTGCAACTCAGACTTTCTGAGCCCTCCTCCTCAGATGCTGGCCTACCAGGTCGCGTCTCACCAGATTTCCCCGAGCTCACGTCTTCTTTAGAAAATGTACGAGGTAGAGACTGTTTAGAAGTAGAGGACTCCGCACAAGTTTCGCCAGAAGAATTTTTTGCCAGCGAGTCCTTAACACATGATACTGAAGACTTTGAGCTGCCACTAAGAAGGGCGATGGGAGCAGGTTGACCAGATTCCAGTACAGTCTTACTGGGTTTGTGGTTTGTTACACCAAGCTCGGGGTCAGTCTCACTCTGCGGTTTTGGCAGACTTCCATCCAGAAGTGTTTCAGAGTCCTGCATCTGGCCAGATGTGTAGGAATGGTCAGAATCACTGCCTTTTAACTCAACAGGATCCCGCCCACTGGTGTACGAATGATCAGAGGAAACGATGCCTGCTGGCGTTACATCCTGTAGCGACGCGTCTGTGTCCTCAGCCTCAGAGTGGTCAGGACTTTCTTCCTTTTGCTGGGTTTTTGCAGGATCAGAAGCTTTTTGAGCTTCCTTCACCTTTACCTGCTGCAGAACCACTTCTGCGTGTGCAGGAGCATGTTCCTGGGGAGCTTTAGGGGAACCCTTTGCCTTTGGAACCTGCTTCTGTACTTCTAGCAAGACCGGCTGCACAAGTTCTGAACTGGGCTTGGCTGCGGAAGCAGCGGTGGTTTTTGGGATCTGAAGCAAAGTGAAGCCACCGCTCGTGATGGGAAGCACACTAGCCTGAGAGCCAGGGAGCTGACCACCCGAGCTATAGGTGATGAGCTTGGATTCTGGTCCCTGAACTGACAGCTTAGTCCCGGTGGCAGGAGAGATTCTGAGGGTGTAGGTTTCTGTGTGTCCCATTATGCTGGGGACTGTCCCCGTCTTCGCAGCCTGAGACACGGCGGATGGAGCAGACCCTGCTGCAGCAGATGCCTTAGACCCTGAGGTGGGAGAAGTTGCTGAGGTGCTTGGGGAAAGCCCAGCGAGGACTGCAGTGCTGCACACAGGAGACTTAGCAGCAGCAGCAGGGGGCGTAGTGGAGTCTGGAGGCGGATGTGGAGGGGCCGGTAAACGGATCACAGAACCTACAAAGCAAATAAGACATTTTTAGTTTCTAGGACAACACTCAAGGGTAAAAAAACATCTGACTAAAACTACCATGAGAAAATGAGTCATTAACAAGGTGAGCAGCAAAAGAGGTAACCTCACCTGGGTTGCGGATGAGCACGTTGGGCTGGACTGTGCGGAGCTGGCTGAGAGGGACCAGCTGAATGAGCTGTCCATTGGGGTGGCGGAACAGCGTGGTGCCGGTGGAGCTGCGGACCGGCTGCAGCACCATCCTCTGACCCGGAGACAGCTGAGGGCCCAACGAGGGTGTGGCCGGGCGTACTGCTGGGGAGGAGGGCTGGACTGGGATGAGGAGCAGGCGGGTGCCAGGGCGTCGATTTGTGGGGTTCACGCCACCCGTGGGGCTGCCTCCACTTGGGACGCTCATCGCCGGGGCGGTGGGCGTTGGGGTCTCCTCTGAAAAAAACATCACAACAGTGGCGGTCAAACTCTCGACACCGTGAAGAGAGACTCTCGTAGTGTCAAAAACGGTTCTGTCACTGAAATGAGTGCAAGTATCTTGGCAAAATCCAAAGTATGCAAAACACCAGACCTGATCTCGTTTGTGCTGACCTAGAAAAGCTTAGCACAGTGTGCGATTTACAGCACCGATTCGTCTAAACTTTAGCAGTACACTAGAGTAACAAGAAGGACACCAAACCATACACCAAACTATACCTATCATACATCAAAAGGCATGTAATAATGAATACAAAGAGGTAACAGAATATTAAGAAATTAAAAATAAAATGCATGGCAGCATGTTCACAATGCAGTTTATGTCATGTCAAAACCACATAACCTCACACTGCACAATGAAATGCACGAGCTGCAGCTGGCACTCAGGACTCGAATGCAAGCTAGGCTGGAAATGAAGGATCATGGAACCACAAGACAAATCACGATACCCGGAACTGCAACAGGTACACGGGCAAGCCCACCGGATGGAAGAAACGTGCTGCTGCACCTCATTTGGATTGGTGGTGTGTGGGGACAAGATGGCGATTTGGAAAGCTGGACAGACCACAGACACAGAGCGGCTTGAGCACAGTGGGCTGCGGGAACACAGCTTACCCAGTCGGAGGTTAGGAGAGAGAGAGAGGAAGGTGATGGGGAGACCCTGAGGCCCTGCTGCAGACACCTTAATGACAGTGGCAGAACTGGACGTACTGGTGCCGGAGGTGCCGGAGGCAGTGGAAGCACTACTGTTACTGGTTGGAGGGACCACCTCAACACTAGGGCTCTCGGGAGAAGACTGCCCCCTAGGGCTTGCCTTGGAGGCAGAATTCACTGAGGGGGAAGGGGAAGGAGGCCCAGCCCTCGCCACCTGCTCTGCCCGAGGGGTCCGAGCAGGCAGAGCCGAGCTGACCACCACCAGGGGCGCAGACGACAAGGTGAATTTGTGCACGCCGCTGACCAACTGAGGAGTACTACTGCCAGGCAGTCTCTGCTGCAGGGAGCTGATCCTGTTGACCACAAACTGGGTGAAGACCTTCCCAACTGTGGGCTTGGGTACTGCATAAGGGAACAGATTGAGGGCAAAATTGAGGAATAAAGTAGGTTTTTCAATCGCAGTGAAGATAGAAGACTTAAAAAAAATGTAACCTCTGAATACATGAGGAAAGAATGCGTCGCGTACATGGAAAATCAGCTACTGAGAAAATGCACAGCAGGTGTAGCATGGTCCCCTGGAGTGGAAGTCTGTACAGCATATCATATTAGGAACACAAGAGTGGTTTTTAACATAGAACGTGTTTTATTTTCAGTCCTGTGCACTATGGATTAACTGCACATTAACACCTGCACCCAATGGCGGAGCACAATTTACCCGCAAATGTGAAATCACGGGCGAAAGCAGATCAGAAGAGGGAAGGGTGGGTCGGGGCCTCTTACCTGACAGCTTCTGCGTGACTGTGGTGATGCCTGGAGAGGCGGTGCCACTACTCAATGAGACCGTGGTGGTGCCGGAGCAGGCAGTGGAGGAGGCTGCAGAGAGGGAAGGCCGCTGGGATCCTCTGGCTTCGTTCGTGCCATCCACAGTCAGGCCTGTGTCCAATCCCTCCCCTGAGGGCAGTCCTTTGGACTGCTTGAGCAGGGCTGTACTCGATGCTTCCAGTGCACTGGGACGAAGTCTGCCAGTGATGTAAGCTGCTAGTCTGTTGGCTGGGTGCAATGCTCCCATCTGGCCCAGCAGTAGTTTGGCTTGTGGGTATGATTTGCCATTGACCTGCAGCATTGGGGAAGAGCAGCTTACATGAACAGTGGCAATCAGAAAACACTTTTTTAATAAAACGAAAAGGATCGAGTTCTAGCACAGAAAATCCACCACAGCGTATTGTCTTTTGCAAGGCAAACGTGCAACAGCTATCAGCACGTCTCTCGTCCAAAACAAATCTATTCAAATCTCACATCCCGTGCAAAAAAACCCTCTGTTTAACGAAATAAGCAGTGCTCACGCTCTCACCTTGATGAGGCCCTGCTGTGGGCTGCCTGGCTGTTTCTTGTTTGCTGTCAGGATACCTGCTGGGGAGACTCCTGTGTAGAAGGGCAAGGCCTTCCCTCTCGACAGTTTGTCCTTCATTTTCCGCAGCTTTTTGGCGGCACACTTCGAAGTGCCTTCGCTGGGCATCTCGACCACCTCCAGCTCCTTCTTCCTGGCGCTGGCGCTCCCCTCCGCCTGCTCCTCCTTCAGCGTCGCCGTCCGTTCCGCTCCGTCGGTCTCGGCAGCAGGCAGGGAGATGCGGATCGTGGACGTGATGACGGAGCCGGACCCCTCCTTCTTGTGGCTCTGGCTCACCTGCTCAATGAGGTAGCGGCCCACCTTGAAGGACTGGGCCAGGTTATTCTGGGCCATGTGCTGGGACACTGTCCTCAGGATGCGGTCACGCTCCTGCTCCCAGTTGCATTCCGAGACGATCTCCAGCATCCTAGTGGGCTCAGATGGAGTCAGCATGCGGGGCTGGATCTTCTGGGGTGTGGTAGGGGCAGATACCTGGGTGTCTGCTCTCAACATCCCAGGCTTCCCGTCTGTTGGGTTAAATCATAGAATAAGACACTCTGAAGAATGACACCAACTGACCATTAAGCATTATGCCCCCAAAAGATGACTTCAGTAACAGAGGTAAAAGTTTAGCTGATAGGCCTATGTGCTGTTTTCACCTTCTGTGTTTGTAAACATCCTTCACTAGTCCCCCACTTTCTTTTTACCCGGATAGAAAGAGGCTAACAAAGAGAATCACAGGGCTTACCAGTCTTTGAGTCCATAAATCTGTGGTACGGATCATCTTCCTGCAAAGATTTAAAATTTCAGAACAATCATAACTTAATTCTGCTGGACTCATATGAAATATTGCATGTTGTTCAAAATAATTTTAGTGCTACAGATTGCTTGTCGGAATAGTACCCTGTATTTCCTTCTGAACAACAGGCAAAAATTATTCCTAAACATTCTGACTCAAGCATTCTTACTAAGATGGAAAAAAATGAAAACGAGTTAATGTTTGTAACACATAAGGGGGTGTTTTTCACTAAAAGAACTCCTGCTTTGAGATCTAAAAAAATGTTCATCTTTATTACAAGCCCTGCTTTGACTAGGGCTTTTATATACAAATCAAACTTTTTGACCCTGGGTTCATTTTGCAATTTCCTTTTTTAGTTAAGTATTGCATTTGCGCTTTTTAATATTCAGGAGCCAATATCCTGCAGGATCACTAGGCATTATGACATGGCTGCTTTTATCTTGGCGTGAGACGGCAGCGTTCATCAGTGAGCAGGCGGGGTTATCTGGTGTCTTACCCTCCCGCTGCAGAGCACGGACCGGCAAGCGCAGAGGGGCTGGCTCTGGGCACGCTTGTGGGCGTAGTGGCGCACTCGGGCACAGGTCATCATGCTCTCGAAGTACAGGTACACTGGGTCCTTCTCCTCCTCCGTCACCTGGGAACAGGAGACAAGGGCGTGATCCACAGCGCCAGGCGCCAGCGGCTAGAAGGTACTAAATGATCATTCGCAACGACAGCAAAAAGATGCCCGACGCCGAAATATAAGGGCAAGTACAGAACAGCTTTCAGATGATTCCACTTTTTAATCTTTTCCTGATTGAGGATCTCTAAACAAAAGGCTTGTTCACAACAGAAACTAGCAGTAAAGCTTCTTTTTGGTATTTTTTTAATTGCCATCTATCTCATTGTGGAGAACTTCCTGCAGTCCAAAGGAATCATTTACCAGTGTTTTTGTAAAGAAAAACACTCGTCCGCTGAAGCTTTTGCCTGTGTTTTTTATAATACTCAAACTTATAAAATGCTATGTTAAATGTTTCAATAATAAACCACCCAAGAATCCAAACATGACTTAATATGAAATTCTGAGTTACTAAGCAACATGAAATTTACCAAAAACAAACAAACATACAGGACATGAAAACAACAAAACCTGAACAAAGCTGGCTATGTTTTAAAATAGGTATAATCTTTAATCATGAACCATTTCTACGAGTACTTCGTTCCGTTTTGTGAAAAAGCTCTGGGGATCTTACCACTGGGTGAGCTTTGGGGATGTAGCTCCTCGTGCTGCCTGAGACTCTGGGGAAGCCTGAGGAAGAGGACTGGCTGTAGCAGGCTGAAGGTGGAGGGATGAAGAGAGGCTCTGGGTCAATCTCCCCTTCCTTCCGGTTCCACAAGGTGTATACGCGGGCTGCTGGCTCCGATTCGGGTTCGGGCTCAGAAATCGCTGTGGTTCGAAGAAGGTTCAATAACTGCATGGCATTTCAGCAACGGGTTCATGTTGTTCGTTTAGGGCAAAGTACAAGGAAGATCTATTTTGCTAAACTGAAGTTTTCTTTTTTACAGAGAACTGGTAAAGGCCGCAGATCCCTCAGCACAAGGGCCCCCTGTATTTACACAGCCTTCAAAGGAACAAGTAAAGGTTTATTCCATGCTGAAAAGACACAACATTTTGGCTGTGGAGCCTTCTTCTGGTGTGTGACACCTGACACACCTGAAGAAGGCTCCACCGCCAAAACGTTGTGTCTTCTTTCTGTTCTTTTCAGCATGGAATAAACTTTTACTTGTTCCTTTGCAGCCTACACATGCTGACATAGTTGCCTACTTGAACTACTTTTACACGGCCCTGCATGGTTAATCCCCGAGCCAAGCTGAGCCCCCCAGCAGCACAGCCGACTTACTGTATTCAATCTTCCTCCTCTTCTTTTTCTTGGCCTTCAGTGGCATGCCCTCTTCCTCCTCCTCCCCGTCCTCCTCCTCCTCTTCCTCTCCCAGGGCTTTGTAGAAGATGAGGTCCTCGGGATCGGCGGCCTTCGTGGTCTTCTTCCTCTTGGGCGAGGTCTTCACCAGGACCACCTTGCGTTTCAGGCACGTGCACCCAAACATGCACTCGGGCTTGCGGCAGTGAGTGGGGAGGCGGCGTTCCTGGGCCAGGCTGGCGCACACACAGCCCAGCCGGCAGAAGTCGTTCAGGCAGGGCGGGGCTCGGCGCTTGATAATCCTGCCGACGGGCCTGCCCTTCAGGGACCCCTGGGGAGACGGGCCACACCGATGCTTACACATGCTGGCTTTTTAAAGATCAAATCAATGCAGAGAGGGCGCTCAAGCGGTGCGTCCCTCTTCTTTCCCCTGAGAACTAAGAGACGTAAGTTACACCTCCACACTGCAATGGGACTGACCCCACCTGCTGATACAGCCAGCTGCCCCACAAGATGTCTGCTCTTTCACACAGGTAGGCAGCACTTAATCCTCATGGACGTGAGGCATGTTGCTGTATGTTAGGGGCACACACGCCAGGACTGAAACGTGAAAACAACTTAAGTGATGCTAAGTAAGAAAAACGTTTTCAGCCCTGAAATATTTTTAAAAAGGCACTGACCCCGAGTGGGAGCTCCAATACTTCAACACTGAAAGAAAGAACCTGTAATATGCAGCAGGTTTATTGCCCTGACGAAGACACCAGAGCTCCAATGTTCACCTCCTCAGATTTCTGCCTTTTTGATAGTGGAAATTTAAAGCACTTTTTTCGCTACACATTTTTTAAATTGCAGCTCCCATTAAGAAATGCAAGTTTGGGTCCAGCGTGATTCTTTTTTAAAAAAAAATGTTTGCATCCCTGATATCGGAAGGTCCAGTGCTGTCAGCACAGTGGACAAATTAATAAAATTATTTTTAATGCTTTAAACACCAAACCTGGGGGAAGGTGGAGCTGACTGCGTCTGCAGATTATACTGGTGCCAACCTCCAGTGCAAGTTTTTTGCCAATTCTCTAGTCTCGCTGTACCGGATCATAAAATTGAATTGCATCAGCAGGAAGAATAAATTAATCAATTTTTGTTTTTACTCCCACTTCACCCCAAGGTAAACAGGACAGTTTATAGTTCCCCCGTTTTATCAATTGAGTTTCAGACAGTATGAACCAAAACCAAAAATATGAATACATCCTAGAAGTGAACAAAATTAAGGCTTCATCTGCAAAAGCAAAAGTTTTGATCTATTCAGCCGCAGGGCTTGAGGACGCCCATCTTGGGACGCAACTGGGGAATACCTGAGCCGTCAGCAGCGAAGCCAGGGCGACCTCCGCCCTCTCCTCCGTGACGTAGGTACGGCCCTTGCCCTCCCACAGCGCCCCATCCTCCAGGTCCATCAGCCTGGCCAGCGACTTGGACAGGCCGGCCACCCGGCTGCTCGCGGCCGCCACCGGCCGCCCACCGGCCTCCTGCTTGAGGACCAGCCGCTCGGAAACAGGCTGCTCCTGGCCCGGTTCCAGGGGCGCCGAGGAGGCGGGGCAGTAGAAGATGGGCGCCGACTTGGTCTTTGCGGCCGGTTTCCCTGCGCTGTAGGAAGGAAGCGTTTTCTGCTTGGCGCTGTGCGAGGGGGGCCGTTTCGCTGCCGCCGCCCCTGGCTTGGCTTTGACTCCCGGGGACGCGGTGGGCTTGGGGGAGGCCTTCTGCTTAGGCGCTGCTTTGGGTCTCTTCGGAGTGGAGAAAGCTTTGAAGGGGAAGCTCGGAGAGGGAGGTGGCAGCGCCGGCGCCTGCTTCTTCAGCACGCTGTCCAGCGTTCGGACGTAGCTGGTGCTTTTAGTGGGCAGCTGGTAGGCCACCGGGGCCAGGGTGGTGCTCTGCGAGAAGCTGGCAGCTCGCTCGTCTATCAGCTTCCCTTCATTCTCCAGGTACTCATCAAGCATGTCGCTGCAGAAGGCGGAGCGATTCTTCAGGGCTCCCTCTGAGCCTCCACTTCCTTCAGACAGGAAAAAATAATCATTTAACTGGGCAATTATACTCAAGGGTTTGGAGGTTAATATTGTACAGCCCGAGCGCACCTATTTTTTTTTATACACTGCGCATTCAAACACAGTTTAAAACGGATGTAAAGGAACTATTCAAAAACAGCTTTAATTAATAAAGTACACAATTTCCATACATGAAAAGGATCAAACACGAGTAAGCACTTGGGCATTCCTAGCAAGAACCCTACAACTCACAAACTGACAAATTTCTGCTAATGATTATTTACCTACAACAACAATCCTAAAAACAGACAATATCTAAGACAACACAGAAAATCTACTTCTGTGGTCTGTCGGTACACTTATGTGTATATAAGTCTGTACATATTCAGGGTCATATTCACACTGATCACAGTAGGAGAGGGCTGGCCAACATGCTTGCAGAGAGAGGGTGCTGCTAATTCTCCATACATGGGAGGCTTTATCAGTTGGCCTGTACTTTAAAGTCAAGAACTCTCTTCTGTCTGATTACGGAGGCGCCATTCAACTGGGCCTCAGATGTGGATCCCAAAGGCTTTCACTGAAGAAATAATTTGTTTTTTGAAGCATTACCAGATTTTCTAAAACACTGCAGATGATTAATATGTAATGTTGTTCCATTGTCCATCAACCCAAAAGAAATCAAAATTTCCTTCTTCAGCTGCAGATTGAACTCAAGAGAATTTCAGTCTCAGGTCATTCTTTAAGTCTTCGCAAAAAACATGTACTGTGGTTCATCAATTTGTCTACATTAATAACGGCTGTAGTATAAGTCAGCAAATATACTAAAAGCAGGGGCAGGTATTTCAGTGAGTTCTTTTTCAAAAGAAAACTGCTATGAAAGCAGTTATTTAAACTGTCCCCCCACTCAGGTTCTGCACTAAAACAGACAGTCTGAAAGAGCCATCTTCTTATTTAACAATGTAAGATTCTAATCAAAGCTCATCAGTTGATTACAATCTGTTTTTATAAGTGGATCATGCTTAAAACAGTCCAACAAATTCTAAGTGCTAGCCCCCATTTCTGTAGACTAAAGCTGCAGTAGCAAGCCAGCAACAACCCTGAAAGATCATGGCTATACTGTAGATCCCACTCTTACCCTCAGTCCTTGATGATGAAGCCTCCGAATTCACATTAAACTTCTCTCTCCATCCTTTTATCTTAGTGAAATCATTTGTTTTACCTGTCCTGGAGATGAAAGGGACATCTGCAAAGAATAAATCATACTTAAAATCCAGGATAACAAAAAAGATCAAAGGTGAACACATTAGTATAAAGTAATAACTTCAATTAAAGAACAGATCTACATCACATACATGATTTCCTTTTGAATCACTGAGCAAAAATATATGGTAGGTGGCAACCAGCCATGCAATATTGCTAACATTTCGCAAACCTTGCTGACTAAATTTCTCAAACTAGTAATATTTTTTTGTCTCTGGTGATTATTTTATGATATACCCATGTTTGAAAAGCAATTTAGCTTTTCAAAGCAAAAGCTTTCTCACTACATCTCCAAAGTTATGCGCTGACCTCCGATTACACAGCGTAGTGTTATCAACCACATTTTGAAGGTTATGGTGGCGATTGCTAAACAATGCAATAGTTCTGTCCTGTTGAAAAGAGCACTAATGCAAAATTCATTCATGTAACCACATAGACATGTATCTGGGTTCTATTATCACAAATAAACAGAAACGTATGGATCAGCTTCAGGGCTGAAATTCATGCTGTGAAGGGGATCCAGACTGAGTGATCAGAGTCACCCATAAACTGCCTGAGGAATTAAGAAGGCAAAGCACTCAGCATCTGGGATGTGAAGTGAGAAGCAGCTTGGGCCTTTTCATCAGGATACAGATTCGGGTCTTAGTCAAGTTCCAGGGGACGTCAAGAAAAAACGACCAAAAACGCTATGCACAGTGTGTGATTTGCCACAGCAGGTGCAGTGACTGACCAGGAGATGATGTCTGGGCAGCTGGGTTCCCATCTGTTCCAGCACACGGTACTGGGGGCGGCAGAGGCAATCGCACACCCAGATACTTCAAGTCAATGGCCAGACTGGGATCCACAAAGTTCAGCTTGAGCCCAACTGCAAAAAAAAAAAACAACTAAAAATTGACACCATGTGTACGCCACCTCAGACGCTGCAAACCCAAAATATCCCCAATCCCAAAATATATAGGCAATCCCTCTCCTAATGATGCCAAATCAACCACACTCTAACAGATGCAGTGCTGTGGATAGAAATCTACACAACAGCAAGCTTATATCGGACTGCTGCAGTCATCAAGCCCTGTCTGGCTTGGAAGGATAACACCCCCCAGTGAAAAGTAGTCCAGGTTTACCTTCCTGCAGAACTGGGTGGATTGCTTGTCTGTGTTTGAAACGTTTCAGATCCTTCAGAAGCGCGTCCTGCAATCGAAGTATTCGGTCTTGCAAGCTCTCAGGGACTTCTATCAGGTAAAAAAATACGAACGTCAATTTTCGCGTCTTTGAAACACAGGTACATGCAACAGCCAAACTCCACTCAGAAATTATTACCATTTTTCTCTGGGATCTCAGCAGTTTCTGGTGGCTGAATGGTGTCGCCTCCTTGTGGCTGATCCCCGAGATGAATCTCAAGGGCATCCTAACCGTTCAAGACAAGAAAAGACAATACTGAAGACAGACATACACTACACAAGTCAGCTAAATGGGGAAAATAATCAATGTAAGAAACTTAACAGCAATTACAATAAGCCTCGCAAACATCTTTTGAATGATGACTCCTCTGTGTTGACTCTAGAAAGCACGATTACGAAAAGGAAATAAAAGACAGGAAATGCAACTAAAAAATAGGAATACAAAGTTTTAAAGACATGAATCAGAACTGACGTTGGCTGTTCTATTTTAGAACCGCTTGTTAATCAACTCAGTTCACTGCTGCAGCAGCAGTGGGGTTAACAATCAGAGACCACGAATGCCTCGCCCAGACAGGCCAGTTGCCCGGGTGCAAAACACATGACATCCTGGCAGCTGCACAGCGCCTTACAACAGGGGCTCCCAATCCTGGTGCTGGAGGCTCACCCACCGGCTGGGTTTTGTTCCAGCCCAGCTCTCAATTACACAACAGGGCTGTAAGATGACTTGATAAAAGGATTAATTCAAACCGTTTGATCGTTTTCAGCTCTCAGGCATGTGGTTGGTCATTTTCGACTTTTAGAGTTTTAATTCCAAAAAAAACATGCAAATATTCAAGTTAAGGAACATCTTAATTTAACGAAGGCCTTGATCATTAAGGAATCAAGCATGGCTAGAAGAAAACCAGCAGGTGTGTGGTGCTTTAGGACCAGGAGTGGGAGCACCTGTCTTTCAAGGCTGCAGCCATCAACAAGAGGAGTAATAAGTCTCTCAGGGACAATGCAACAAGCTAACACACGCACAGCCAAGATGGAAGAGTGATGACGCAAGAGCTCCACAGGAAACCGAGGAACTTTAGGCTGATTTAGCCCCACCCAGCCCTGGAAAGGGGTGGTCTGATTGGTGCTCACGCAGCTAATGACATGGCCCAATCCCCCAGTCCCAGAATATATAGGAAATCCCTCTCCTACGGGGTCAAATAAACCATGCTGCAACAAACGCAGTGCTGTGGTAGAAATCTACACAACAGCAAGCCTATATCTGACTGCTGCAGTTATTAGGTTCCGTTTGACTTGGAGGGATAACATTCCCCAGCCAGATCTGGAGTACAGGGGTCAACCTGCACTCCGATTGAGCCCTGCCACTGCTGGAGCCACTTCGAAGCCCCCCAAAAGGAAATCAGTCACCACCACACAGAGAGGTGTACAGGAGACGACACAGCTGCCTTACCTTGGAGGTGAAAGAGACAAAGAGAACACCCTCCACCTCCTCCAGGTCCGGCTGCATGCTGGCATCGGTTGGGCTGCCAAGCACTGGTCCGGTGCCAGTCACTCCTGTTTTCTTTGAGGGCTTCCCAACTTTGCCAAACCTCACTTTGCGCTGACGCCTCTTTTTCCCAGGGGGATGTAAAATTTTGGGGCTTTTAATGGCTGAGGGGGCAGCTGCCTCACTGCTGCTCACTTGCTTGTCCGGCCTCAGCAGGCTTTCTGAGGACACGAGGCCCTTGGCGTCCGGAGGGGGTTTGGGTGCAATAGGCCTCTTGGCAGACAAAATGCTGCTAATTTTCTCCTGAGTTTCCTGAAACAGAAAGGCCTTGGGCGGTGGCACAGGCTGGCCTTTCTGCTGCAGTTGTAGGATGTCTTTCAGCGCTGGTTTCTCGGTTTCACTAGGAGTGACTGGAGAAACCTTCACAGGGAGATCAGTGATTCCAGCACCGCCCTTATCCTTCTCAGGAGGATGGACATCTGGAAAGGGCGCGGCGGATGACCGCTCCTGCCGGACCTCTGGAGTCGCAGCCTCATCAGCGAAGTCGGAACAAGGCTTAATGCAAACTGCAGGTCTCCCACTGTCTATGGAGAACACCTTGGCTTTGGCAACTCCCAGCTGGGTATCGTGCTGCTCCTTCTGGGAGCCCCCGTTATCCACAGGGGACTCTCCATCTTCTTTTCTGGCCATTCGGAACAGCTCTGAGCTACTTTGGCGTTTAGTGTCCGGCCCATCCTTCTTCCCCCTGACATTTCCCTCCTGCGTAGGAACAGGCGTACTTGTTCGAGGTGGTTTTCTATTGCTGCAACCCAAAATATAATGACCATTAAACTTTGGATGGTGTATTAAAAGCTCTCTACAAGACCACAGTGAAGGACTGTAAAATAACAACCGTCACATGTCTTCACTTCCTAAAAGCATCAACAGCTAAACACACAGACGTACGAGGCAGACGACCGAAAACATCTGTGACCTGGCCGTGACCGATTTGACTTGCAGAAGCAGCACTACAGCTCCCTTCTTTTTTCACTCCTTCCATTCTTTGCAATAACTACGGGTATACAAGGATCTGCATTAGCATAGATCAGAATATTCATTCATTTCACATGCGGCCCAGGAAATGGCCTTTCGGGTTAGAAGAACTGAACTTTGTGGCAATGATCGAATTAAAGGGTGTGCTAGAAGGAGGCGGAGAAATCGGTTTCTCTCTGAGAAACATGCAGGAGCACTAAAAAAGAAAAAGGTGTTGGGTTTAGAACCAAGGCTGCCAAGCACTGAAGCAAAAAGTCAAACAGATGAAGCCTCATATTCCTAGGACAACTGGAATTGTGCAAAAAAAATAGAGCAATTATTAATGAATTATTGTGAAAGAGAATTTTTGAATAGTCATTTTACATAGAGACATCTTTATAAAACTAAAAAAAAAACTTGGGCAAATTGTTAAAAAATTGAGGCCAGCTTTAACATATAACTAGGAATTTTAAAATAGGATTTTTCGCACAACGTGCCTAAACAGACAAAAAAAAAGCGACATTCAGTTCCACACGTGATGACTGATTTTAGATTTCTCTTTGTGTGGGCTTATTGCTTTCTTTTCTGTCTACTTGCTTTGTGTGAAACTTGCAAAAAGTGTAGAAAAGTTGCTAAATGTTTAGGAATTCAAGTTTTAGATGAACACATGAACAGAAAAAGAAAGGTAACACTACCGTGCACAACGATAAAACCTCCGGAGCACAAAGCTCTTTTTCAAGAGATCGTCACACCGAGGATCCCTAAAGCAGGCAGATCCGAGCGCGTCTGCTCCGAGGCTACACGACAAACCAGCTTACCTGGAAGTTTTAGGGGTGGCGTTCGACTTGATCGGGAGTATTTCGTCATTGAGGAAGCCGATGTCGTATCCCTCGGAACCAAACAACTCCTGATCCATCACTTCATCAAAGACCTCTGGCGACCCAAAGAGAGATTTCAGGGTCTTCCTGGGTGGCTTCCCCTCCTCCCCGCTGTGCGAGGTCTTGCTCAGGTCCAGGGGGGGGAAGGGGCTCGCCTTGGGGTCCGAGCCCCCCGTAGCCGGGGCGTCGCCCTTGAACTTGATGGGCCGGTAGCACTGCCCGTCCTCCCGGAAGCCCTTGGCGAAGGGGTTGTAGTCGATCTTGAGCTGAGTGATCCGCAGGTTCTGGTAGGCCGTGACGGCGAAGAACTCGGTCTGCGGGAAGGTGAAGGTCATGACGTCCGGCCCGTTCAGCTGGATGACCTCGGTGGCCTTGTCCGCGGGGACGATGTGCAGCCGGGGCAGGTAGCGGTGCATGGAGTGCAAGATGACGTGCCCCTCCTGGTCCAGGGTGTTGTTGGTCAGCTTCAGCTTGTAGAAGGACACCGGTTGCTGCATCCAGTAGTGCCCCGAGGAGGGGGACTCCGGGTGGATGAAGACCCGGCCGAGCACGTGGGGCTCGGCCTTGCCGTTGATCTCCCAGTAGCGCCCGTTCCACTTGTAGCGGTTGTTGTCCATGGGGGTGATGTCCATGACCAGGATGTACCTCTGGAAGGGCTCCATCCCGGAAATGCGGAAGCGGCAGTAGGGGAACATGCGCCGGCCCTGCTTGGTCAGGATCATCTCCGTCCTGCACCGGTAGAACTCGTTCCACATGTTGTTGTTGTCCAGGGTGACCTTCACCCCTCTGCAGCTGCTCTCCGGGGGAAGGTTTTCGGAGAGGTTCTTGGGCTTGATGGGCGTGATGCCCGCGGCGTTTCTGGGGGCAAGGGGCAGGAGACCGGGGGACGGGATGCTGGCCACCGTGTTGGTGGCCAGGTTCACGTCCTGGTTGGACACCAGGATACCCTGCTGCTCGAGTCCGCCGTCCCCTGCCTGGCCTGGCTTCAGGATTACGAAGAAGGCAGGGGGCGTGGACGCCGAGGCGGGGGCGATCGGAGGCACGCGCCCTTCGTCCGCAAGAACCATCATGGCCTGTTTCTCCATCGCTGCCGTCACAGAGCTGCGGGCCGGGGTTGGGTGGACAGCACCGAGCACCTCCTCACCCTGACTGGACTGCTTGAGCAATTCGCATTCTGGAAAAAATGGACAGAAAAATGAATACGGGGACCAGGCTACAGAACTCGTAAAAGAATATTTCAACATATAGCATTAGTGGTGCGCAGCCCTAGTCCTGGAGGTCACAATATCTGGGGGATTGTTCTATGCCTCAGCTCTTAATGACCTAACTGAGCTGAGCATGAACTTAACTGGACCAATTTAACACTGCCCAAAGGTCTTCAGCTGCTGGCGATTTGCAGAACCTCTGAAAGCTTGCTGGACTGTGACCCTCAAGGTTACCTGTGTAGTACAGAAAGGGTCTCTTATCGAGCAGAGAAAGTTCACGTTCATTAAAGCTAGGACCGCTAATTAACTATCACTCCGCAATATATATCTTTGCAAAAATGGTTGATTTGTTTTTTTAAACAGAGATCAGTAATATTAAAAAGCAAAACCTCTGCCAAATGTCAAATGCTTCTTCCTTTTAGTACAGTAATGTCCAGTCCTGGTCCTGGAAGGTTTTTAATTCTACCTATGCTCTTAATGAGATAGATCAGCTGGTTACTGGCTTAATCGGACCAGTTTCTCTGAAGCTTCTCCCAGCTCTGCAAGTGCCACTGTTGCTTTTAAGAGACCTAGAAAACCTGCAGTCATACTGGCGCACCATAACCAGGGCTGGACACCCCTGATCTAGTAGTTTAACATTTTTAGATATTTGACATCCTTTATTAACTCTGTATCAATACTGTGGCTTAAGATGGTGATTGAAAACTGTAACAGTAAATTACATTAAAAAATATACTTTCAATTGAACTTTTACTTCCAAAGAATATCTGTTGATCTTAAAACTTTTTCAACACAGCAATAAACAGTACCACCAAAGACCTTAAAATAAACACACATTTTCCTATACCAACTGATCTAGGTCACACATTTCTCTAAAACAGCATTACTTAAAAAATGCATTACTGAATATCCAGATAGAATTAATTTCCATTTCCAGTAATAATTAATTTCCAGTAATAGTAAGTATGAAAAGCCAATGTAAGCTTAATTGGATTCTGATTTATTTTTAAGCGCCGGTGTAGCAGTACAGGGCTAATATCAACCTATGTTGTGAAAACTACTTTCAACGCTTGAATACCTTAAAGCGTGCGTTAAAACGTGTATTTAAACGTACAGTATAGACTGTCAATTTTACTTTTCATAAAACACCAACATATTTCTTTATGCCTGCTTACGTAGCAAATTAGCGATCTATTTAACCATTGATAAGGGACACAATATATTTAACACGCAGAGAAACTGTAACAATCTGCATCACACTGAGTCTTCTCATTTGGTTACAGCTTCTGCTAGTCATTCAAGCCCACAGGCATTTCTACACACGCGTGTTACAATCATTTGCTGATCAAGGATTTCATTTTTCCTTTAAGTGCGCAACAGAAAGTGGGGTTACGCGCCGCTCTTCAAAGTTGGCACCAGTACAAACGCCGAGCAAGTAAGAGCAGAAACGGTAGATGAATTGCAGAAAATTCAGAAGCAAAGACAGAGAAAGAAGCGATCTAACACGCCAACTACCACATCGCCACTCGGCAGCATCATCGGTTCCAAACAGATGCATGTGATCTCAATCCCTCCTGTTTCTGCTCAGGAGCAATTACAGCTTTTCATAAGCCTGGCGAAGGACCCAGATTTGCGGGATGTCTGTATGTATAATCTCTTGCAACATTTTTTTAAAACCTGGCAACAGAAAAGACACCATCTACCCCCCGTTCAGATTTACCTCCGCTTGCTAGCTCTTACATCTTATCGCTTTAAAATCATGGTTCTCATCGAACAGTACTTCCAAAGGACGTGCGTTAATAAACAATCTCTCTCGACAAATAAACTAAACGTATTCCAACGGCAAAGAACATAACCACACCTCTCAATCTAGCTACCTTTCTGACCAGGTGCTTTACACACCTTTCCGTCTACACCCAAGGTCGCCATGTTGAATATTCGACCATCCCATTCGCAAAACGTTAAATTTCAAAACCCTAGAAATGTTCTGTTCGTGTTCGCGCTTATGGATTCGTTTTTTTTTCTAAATTCAAGCAGCATTAGGCGTATCACAATGACACCACAATTTTAAAGAGGCTTGTAAACGTTGCAGTAATAGTAGACACGCTTGGATTAAAACTGAATCTATGGAACACCTCCCTTGAAACTAAATACAAAAAAAAAAGTTCATCTGTGCCATGTTGTTTCATCCCCGTTTCCGTTTCGTTGACGTGATTTTTCTGGTGCTAAATTTCTCAACTTAGCCCCTCCTCCGAACTAAAAGCCGGAGCTAACAAGCGAGCGCTCCCATGCCTGTCGAAGGACATGGTGAAGCGGGCCTCTGGCCGCCTCGACGATGCCAACCCCAAGCGCGTGGGCCTGGCGCGGTCTCCTTGGCACCACCATGACTGGCGGTCCCAGCGCGTGCAAAACCCGGCCACAGCCTCAATGGCGCGTGAATCCCTCCCCCCCTTCCAGCCAACGCGTTGGGAGCGCGAGCCCACCCTCGGGGATCTTCTCAACACCCAACTCGTGGCAACAGGCGCCGTCTCTTTCTCCGTGCAAACGCGCTCCACCGCGGCTCCGCTGAGCTGTTACCTTTCCCAGTCGTGCAAACATCACCCCGAAATCCGACCGTCGTTTGACTTGCTCATTGGCTCTTTCCGTTCTTTTTTTTCCCCCTTCTTACTCCGTACGTCTCACCCAGCTGGAGAAAACATGAGTGCTCTCAGTCACCTACGTCAGAGTCCTTGTGGTGGCACGCTCACGTTCTCGCCTAACGCGCAGGCTCTGCCCAGTACGGGACAGCAGGAGCCAGTCACGTGGGAATACAAAGCCTCTTTGCGCACGCACCGAGCTCGGCTAAAGCTTTTATTTTTTAAAATCGGGATCTGTGCGAGCACCGGCAGCAACGAAGGAAAAGCCCGCCTTTAAAAAACGCGAATGCACTTTAATCGAATGGGATTTAACGTCTTTATTGGTCGGCGTTCAAAAGAAATACTTTCACGTGGTGCCTGCCGTGTGAAACAAAATAGCAGCTAGTGAGAACCGATACAGCGGGGCACCGAGGCAGACAGAGCAGATGCAGAAAACGAAAACCAAGCACAGGTCAAACACTCGTTCATCCCAGAGAGAAGCCCACCAGCCGCGTAGTGGAGGTGCGAGCACGCATTTCAACAAAAACAGCGTTAACAAGCAAACACCCCTTTTCATACCGACACTTAAAAACGAAAGAGATCAAGAAAGATACATTCTAGCCAGCACATACGTGAGAAGAGATACTGTATAAGTAATATTGCCACTAGAAGCTCTTGGTCGCTATCTAGTGACACCAATCAACTAATTAGTTGTGGGTTTTTTTTAAATACAACATTTCGGGATAACTATTGCACAGTAATCTTACATTTGAAAAATCCCTAAAACTACCGGCTCCTGCGCAAGAGCTACTACACTATGTTTTGCCAGATTACTATGACAGAACTAACTAGCAGAAGCAACGTCCACGAGTGACAGCATTTGAGTACACAATCGAACCGCAGCGCAGGCGAGAGAGCTGTTAGTCTAAAATCGCTTGGAAACAACAACATAAGGAGTGCTCGCCCTTTAAACTGTAATTGCGTGAACTTTCTGTTATGGTCACCTTTGAGCTACAATGTCTAAGCTTACAGAGCAGCATTCTATTATTCTAAGAGAATAAAAGATTTATTTTACAGGTTTGCTTTAGGCCGTGTAGTATTCATATACAAGACCAGCCACAGCAGAAATAAATCTTGAATTTACTAAATAACCCAGAAATATAGTAATTGTCATTTGCTTTCCATTTAAAACAGTATCGAATTTATATATTTCAGTATTCCTCTAAACTATTGTTTTACATATACTTTATTCGATTTATATGTATATTTAGAAAGACATCTCTACATACAGTACAATGTTGTTTGCAATTGTGTGTTCTGCCTTTCGTGAAATATCAGCTATCTTTTTTCCTTCATTTTCCTGCGAGAACTAGGAGATGAATGTGCGGTTCAATTACATTAAACGCATAACATACATCAGATATGGGGTTTTGCTCCTACAGCGAGAAAAAAGAGAGAAGGAAAGTTCCAATTTCACTGCCAATAAGCATTCACACCCATTTCCCACACCTTTTGAGCATGGCAGATAACCAGAAGATGCTTATTAAATCTGAGCTTTTTATCCGGCCAACACGAACGTCTTTCAGTCCGCGTCCACGGCTAGATAAACCTATTTCTTTCGAAGGCTGCAGCCCATCCGACATTGAAAACGAGATGGGTCCTATTGGCTACTGCCTGGTCACATGCACCCCGAGCCACAGGCGAATACCGGCAGAAATGGAAATTAAACTGCGACATTATTAAGAGGGAAACTTTGGACTACGAATTCCTAAACTGACCCGACGATAAACAAGACCCCTGACAACTGCGGTCACCACGGTTTTACGCTCCACAATTGCTAGATCGCCAAGGGACATTCATCCATTTTTTTGGGGGGGGGGGGGATTGGCTCGAAACCGCCTGCACACGCTCAAGCTTTTTTTTTGTCGTTGTTTCAAAACGTGTCGCTTAAACGCGTGATGTGCAGTGCCCCCATTGTAAGAACAGCACGCCTAACACAGATAAGTGTGAATCCGCGGCCACACGGGTTTCGAGCGAGCCTCATGACGACAAGGAAGCACGGCCTTCCCTTGGCTGCCGGCAGTCACGTGTCCCTCCGCAACAGCAGCAGTCCCAGGTACATTTGAGGGAATGGCGGGCGGTGATAGGGCGAAATAGAAACACGGATACTCAAAGCCCCGTTTTTTTTAAAAAAAAAAGCGCTGGAAAAAAAAAAGGTGTCGAAGGCAGAGGCTCTTTTCGGTTTCAATACAAATCTCGAAGGGCGCTAAAAGCAGCCTCCGTGCTCAGGCGCTAGGTTTGGCGACCCGGGTCGTGCACCGCTCTCTCGCCGGAGTCGTGTGCCAGTGTCGTCAGGTGACCACCGGCAGCACCCTCCCTCCCCCTCCCGCGGGCTGCGCGCTTTTAAGTTAAAGGCAGCCGGCCGGCTTAAATCGACGCCGGCGAAACGCGTGTCTCGAACCAGCCGGAGCACGCTGTTAGAAGCAGAAGCGAGCGCTTTACCTCGAAAAACAAGACTTTGGCAAGCGGGCCAGTCCTCCCATGCACGGCTCTGCGAAGGCGCGGACCGGGTGAGAAACTCGAGGGGAGTGCAGGGCTCCGGTACTGCAGCGAGCATGCGCTGCTGCTAAGCGCTATTGATCCTCGGAGGTGAGAGGAGGCTGGCGGGGGTGCCGCTTGGAGGCAAGAGGCGGATTCGTCTCGAGTCGCGTTCGTCATGACCCTAATCGATGACTATAACGCGGGATTTCAGTGTATTCAGAGAAGATGACACCCCGCAACATGTAGTACTGGGCCCTAATTCTACAATTCTACAAGATTTTAAGGCGTTATATCATAAAAAAAACACACCGAAGAAAGGGATGTTTGCAGAATTACTGAAACTGAGCCGAATTCTGGCAACTCTCGCAGAGTTACTGAACCTGTAATAACAAAGCACTATTGCCCCGAGAAAACAAGAGGCGGAATTTCACCCCGGTCTCCGGTGGCCGCAGTTGACAAACCCACGACGAGAGCCCAGCGTGTTCCCGGGGTCTCCGAGAGAACACTTCAGTTGTTCTTTTGTTTATATACAATTACGAAAAGCACAACGTGTTCCAGCCGTTTTCACCGTTAAGTGTTGTTCCGTGCTTGTGAGTGTTGGGGGTACGCCTCTGTCCGGTCCTGCTTTTGGGGGACACAGGGGAGGTTGGGACCGAGCCGGCCGTTTGCTGGTCCTGCCTCACGCTAGAGCCGGGCTGGTTTTCCGAACAGAGCCTGAGCCATCCTGGGCTTTGCCGCCCACCCGCGAACCTGCAAGCGCTACACGATTAAACTGTACTCGTTTCAAACAAAATATTTTTTTTCCATTTTTTTAGAATGTCTACGCCATTTAAAATTACATTAAAGTTACATTCTGTTCACTTTTTAACTTTTCACTATGCCGCTTTTGACTGCGCTGAGTAGTCAGGTTTAACATATTTTAAAAAAGGTTGGGGCTGGACTGACGGTGTCCCAGCTCCCGGGACCTGGGATTGGTTGTGGACGTCTGCGTGGAGTTTGTCTTCTCTCCCCGTGGCCGCGTATGTGTCCCCCCCCCATTTTCCTCCTGCTGTTTAACGTTAATAAGCGTCACTAGTTTATCCCTCGTCAAGAGTGTTTGTTGTCCTGAAGGGCAGATCTAAGAGAATCGGTGAGAGGACCGATTACGGTTCAAAATGGTGTCTGGCCTTTAACGTTTTAAGTAAGTTGCTCGCAGTTAAATACACAGAAGCCAAATAAACTAAAGGTAATAATGTATTCGCTTTCAATTTCAGGAACAAAAAGTATCTTTTAAACTAGGATCACACCTTCCACCAGTTCTCACAGAGAGAGTGTTTTCTTTTTAAACGCCTCCAGTAATTTACCCAGTTCAGGTTTTCACACCTCGGTCTTCGTCTCTCAGACTTTAGTTTGTCCAGAAGGTCCCCCTCCTCGCGCATCATATTCCTACTCTCTTCATCTTCCCCACCTCGTGTTAGAAAAAGGCTCCACACACCACACTTTGAGTTTTTCTACTTTTTTTTAATATTTCGGCGTGGAATTCATATTTACACGTTACTAAATCGGATTATAAACCTGCGGTCAAAAAATAGCTGTACATTTTGGAGAGAAGACCTGCTAGAAAAAGCGACCGCGGATGATGGCGAAAGAAAAGTTATGAAAACTAGTGCTGAGAAAAACCCTAAATTATGTCTTTGTCACCAAGGCGCACCTCAGATCCCTTCAAACGTACGAACATTTCTGGGACTATATTTACCGTACCTCTCAAACAACCTGCTAGTTTATTTGCCAAGGCATAGTTTCACTGTCGCAAAGCAGATGATATTTGTTAGGTTTCAGACAGCAATCACCCCTCAACAAATTTAATCTTTAAACGTAACGAGAGAAATCAATTGAAGAAAAAAACACGACCCGGAAACTCGGCGTCGCGGTGCCTAGCATTTCCGCCCGGGTTCAAGACCTGGGGTGCTGTCTGTGTGGAGTTTGCATGTTCTCCCTGTGCTGGCCTGGGTTTCCGCCGGGTTCCCCCCTTACAGCCCAAAGACATAGTGGTAGGTTCTGGCGTAAACTGGCCCTGGTGTGAGTGTGTGCGTGTCTGAGTGTGTGTCCTGCGATGGCTTGGCGTCCACGCCGGGGTGTACGCTTTGCCTGTTGGTAGACTCCGGCTCCCCCTGGCAGCGATTTGACCGAAGCGGCTAGATAATAGACGGATAGACCCGGAAATTCTCAACTCTCCCCCGACCCCCCTTCCGCCCTCTCGCCGCGGACGGCTGAGCCGCTTTCATTGCTCATTAGAAGGTACTTACACAGTATGTGGACTGAGCTGAGGAGAGGATGTTTTTTTAATGTAGCCTATTCTTTCACAATATGAAATGGTAGTGGAGTGTGATCTACATTACAGGATCAGATTAAACGAACGTAAATGAATAATTTATCGCCCCTATGAATAGTCCAACGGCATTTTCTCATACTCTCAATCAGGAAAATGTATAATCAGGAAAAAAGAAGCGTCAGTGTCCTTAAATACCTACAAACGTTGCTAGGATGAATGCGTTGTTCCGTTTAATTGTATTTCCACGTCTGCGTACACGGTGCAGTTTAAACCAGGTATTATTATAATTCTTTTTGAGGCAGCTTGAAATGAGCTCGCAAAGAAAGCTGGGCTCTCCTCTATCAAAATGTGATTTTGTTTGTTATCCGCTCGTACTGCACGTAAGATAACGAGAAAACGTCTTTCGTGTCATGAAAGAAAGCAGTCGCTGACTTCGTGCACGTTCCCTTAGGTTTGAAGGCTTAGTGTGAGCTGATAAGGCGATGCCTTTCTTAGAACACCAGTGTGTACAGATCTGTAGAGAATATTAATAAACTTTACTCGGCGTCTGAAAAAAACCCTCAACTTGTACCCAATGCGTGCCTGAAGACTTATATTAAGCCAAATAAAGCATTCAGAACCGACTGTCGCCGTCGGTATAGAGCTTCGTTCAGCGTCACTGATAGAAAACGAAAGCTTCTTTTGGTCACGTGATAGGGAGAACGTGTTTGAGCTTTCAAGACGCGCAGGGAGAAATCTAAGGCAGAGAGCATTTCGTTTCTCTCATGAAATGTGACTTATGAACAACACAACACAAGGCAAATTTGTCCCACGCGATAATGCAGCAGGAGATGGCTCCGATCAACCCTTAACAGAGCTTCGGAATGGAGCGATTGGCATAATTAAAAGCGTCGAAGAGCCCACCGCCAGGGGTTAATTCTATTATCATTGTGGAAAGGAGACCTGGCTGATTCAGAATGTATCTTGACCCGACAGCCTGAAATTGAAAGAAGGCCGTCTAAGATCATATATGGTCATATCGGATAAAAAATGAAACTGTTACTGTAGTGAGACAACCAAGCCGATCTTCAACACACTTAAAGCGTTATATAGCACAGGTAGAACCTCCTGAAGCAGACCTGTCAACAGGAAGTTTGGGGAGAGCTCCATCCTCCACTGAGACTGAAACATGTTAGGTTAGAGTGGGGGTGTGTGTTGTGAAGGAGTTCTCCTCAATGCTTTTAATGAGATGTGATGTTGTAAATCGAAGTTTCTGCTACATACTATCAATTCAGTCTTCAATACTAAGGGACTGTGTATAAAATATATCCATAGCCTCGGTTAAGGCTGTGGGACAAATAGGCCATAAAAGCAGGGCGTCTCGATAATAAAGCACTTGGTATCTTGCACCAGCCTATCCAATGACGAGCCGTACACACCGAATAAGCCGACTGTCTATGTCGCTTTTTACAAGTACACATAGCTGAAATACTCATCTCTGTCTTTAATTTAATACACAATACATTACGTTGGAATTCAGCCTACGAGAAATTTCACAAAAAACAATTACCTCTTGAAAAGACGTTTCATAAATATTGTTTGTGATGATGCATTTCTACACGATGAACAACACTCACTGGGTTTATATTGTAAGGCCAGTGGAAAAGAAAACCATGGATTTGCGATGCCAGCGTTTCAAAACGTTCTGCTGGCAAAATGATTTGTCAGGTGGGTTTGTGAAAGTAATTGGGACCATATCTAGTACACTTAACGCTAGATTGGCTAAAATACTGTTTGCTTAGGATTATGCTTAACAATGTTATAGTTAATGCACAACATTGCGTTTTTAATATACTTTCACTTAAAAAAGATTTAAAAAAATGGAATAAAATGATTTTGAATTAAGGAGAGTTTAGGGGAAGTCTGGAAAGCCTGCATGTACAAGAGTGGAAGTTAGCTGGAACACCAGGGTTAAAATCTCATCTCCTTTGGAACAAACAAGCTGGTAATACCTTGAAATATTTACTGGTTGGTATATTTGTACCGATTATTGTCTGTTGTGACTCTACAGGATGCACCGACAGACGAATAAACAGAACACCAGGGACCAATCAATCTTTTTCATGTGTTTTTTTAATATCTCAACTTTTACACATGTAACAGTTATTTAAGGAAGTATTAAAATCTTTAAGTAATGACAGCATATTTACACACAGTTGTGAAAACTGACAACAGAGCAAGAGTTATCAAAAAATCTCTTTAACAAAACATTACTTTTAATATCCCTTGATAACCCACATATGGAATGTACCCATAAGAGTCCTGGGGTAGCTGTGCCCCTTGATGTTTTTATGAGAACTCCTGAGTGATCTGTTCTGAATAGTAAAGTGCACACGCATCAGCAGGCTCTAGCAGTGGTAAACAGTTTTCTGTCCTTGTCTACACAACTCTGCCCTCATTCCTCTTAGTCCAGTATAAGCTGTGGGTGCTTCAGGTGTAAGGTGAGCTGTACGAATAAAAACTAGGGGGACAGGTACAGTAAAATCTTGATAATTGTGAAATTGTGTTATCTGTGCTAATGTATTCAGTCTCAGTCAGCACTACTTAGTTTCCAGGTGTCTGGAAAGCTCTAGTCCAGCTAGGGTCACCAATAAGCTATATTTGTATGTTAACACTGAATTAATGTACTAATTGTTCAATTAAGAGAGCTCTGGTCTTTGAAGGCTGAAGAAATACAGAGTATGATCTCTAAAATACTGAAACTATCACCTGCTTAATTAAACCACAATGAAATTGCTCTGTTTCTTTATAAACTGCAAAGCCTACAGGACTGGAGTTCACCAAGACCAGAGTTTGTTACAGACCCATGTTTTTAAACTTTTTTTAAACAATCTGTGTTGCTCCCTGAAATTGGAAAAATGTAATTTGAAATTTGAAAAGGTGCAAGGCATATCCAGCAAAATATAACGATCACCAGCAAGTGCAAGACGATGATTATTGCTGTACAATGGGGAAAACTCAGCATTTTAAGACAAAAACACTCATTCGGTAATTCCCAGTATCCAAGCTTCTGGTGTAAAAGAGATTTGTATGTCAGTGCATTATTGAAATCCCTGCATGTTGTACTCGGAGCATATTGACAACATTGCAAATACATACACAAATCAAAACCATGTTTTACCTCATTATGTAAAGTAAGGCTTAAAATTATTTCCAGTATTTTATTTTACTAAACCCATTTGACTTCAATGTAAAATCGAATATGCCTAAAGCTGCACATTAGACATCCATTGAAAGACAATCTGTAATGTAACATTGGTGGTTATTTTGCAATATACCTCCCTATAAAATGCGATTCACAGTCATTGCATCAGCAAAACATATTCACTACCCTTTGAGATAAGGGTGTTTTTTTCTTTTTTTTGTACAATTATCTAAAATGCCATGATTGCAATTGTTGCACATTTACATGCCTGTTATACAGGTATGTATTATATGTTCTATATACACAGTATATAGAATGCACATATGTTATATATATATATCTGTGCTGTTGGAATGAATATGATTTACTGTAGTTTAACACCAGACACAATAGGTACTTGTCAGTAAACTGCAGGACTATAGTGTAATTTACATGCGCTCTGGTACTACTTTCACCTTTAAACACCGTTTGAGGAGTTGAAGAGGTTAATCACTCAGAGGCTGTAATTCAAAGTAGCTTGGGTCATGTTTCATAATTAGTGGCATTTTAGCGTTGTTAACTGGGAAACCAAATCAGCCAGAGGGAATTTTAAAAGGATGTCACGTGACAGAAAAAAAACCTACCAAAATTGTGGAAACACTTACCTGTAGGCTCTCGAAAACCAATTATCTCAGACACCGTGGAAACGAGAACAAAGCGGGAAAACGCAGCGTTTTGGATTGCAGTTTTCGCGCTGTTCCAGGGAAAAGGACCGCCGCTGAGGGGAGGGCTTACGGGTGGGCTTTGTGTCTACGGACAGACGTACTCGCTTGCGCGGTCACCCGGTCCAGCTCGCCTGCAGCGATAAGGCCTGTGCTAGCGTGGCCCCCAGGGAGAGGGGCCCCTCATTCCGAACAGAACTCCTCCCGGGGCCGCACGGTTACCAGGAGGAAGGAGAAGCAGCTCTACACATCGACGACGGCGTCTTCTTCTTCCTCCTCCTGTTGTGGAGGCGGTCCGCTTGGGCCCACTCGGCTGTAGTCCTCCGTGGTGTTTCGGGGTCCTATAATGTAACGGTAGTCTCCCCCAGTGGCTCCTGCGGCACCCGCGGGCATCAGGGGCCAGTCCTCCTCCCCGCGCTGCCAGGGTGCGGCTCCGGCCTGGCCCTCCTGCTCTCCGCCCTCTGCCAGGTTGACGTACAGCAGCTCCTCCTCCCCGCGCCCCAGGGGCAGCCCAGCCCCCACCCCCTCTAGCTGCTCGATGAGCTGCTGGAACGCGGGCCGGCCCTTCGGGTTGGGACTCCAGCAGCTGTACATGATGTTATAGCTAACAGACGGAGAAATGAGGGAGTGAGAAGGGGGCATAACCCCTGTGACCCTCTTGCAGCAATGGCTTATGTACTGTCTAACTTCTCCTGTTCTAATGAGAACAACTAGTAGGACATCATTGGAGTTTAATTCATCTGGAGAGCGTCAAGAATACAGAACACATCTGTCACTTCTATTAAAATAGTATTTAATAAAGAACTCTGTCTTTATGCTGCCTGAGGTGTTTTCTTGACTTCTTCCTCAGTGAGCACTTCAGTGAAGTACTCATTTAGTACAGCAGCCTCCTAGAGCATTTTCCACTGTTTCAACTCGGTTAAAAGTGATTAATTTACTGAGGCGCATTAAAATTCCCTCAAACGTGCAATATTAGATCTAATCCTCTTTTTATGTAACTATGGAAATAAAAATCAGCCTAGAGGCTGTCAATATTATTATATATATCAATATTATTTACCCCCTTACACTGTAAAATAAGAACCAAGAGCAAGTCCAGTTACCTGTGAAGATGATGCAATTTCTTGTTTTATATTATATTTGTTTCTTTCTGATTCTATGTTGATGTCTGCTTATGTTTTTTTCTGAGCTAAATATGGTCTATCTTCAACTAGCATTGCTACCTTTTACAGGTGCGCTATTGAGAGTGTGCTCACGTGTGGTATTTCAGTGTGGTTTGGCAGCAGCTCTGAACAGGTGTTACACGGGGTGATCAAGTCAGCCCAGTCAATTACTGGAGTACAGCTCCCCTCTATTGTGGACTTTTTTTACAACTCGCTGTCTCAGGAAGGCTGGAAGTATCGCTAAGGATCCCAGTCATCCTGGTTTCTCACTTTCCTTCCTTTCTCTCTGGTAAGAGTTACAGGAGCATAAAGGCACAAACCTCCAGATTCAGAGACGGTTTCTTTCCGCAAGCTGTGCGATTACTGAACTCTATCCCTACCACTGACTCACACTGACGTTTATTTCTCTTCTCACAGTGCCTGTCTGACTTGTTTTTTAAGTTGTATGTTATTTAACTTGTTGTTGTTGCTGCAGCTGTTCTGTGTTTCTATTTGGGCGATTCCTTAATGTCTTTGTATCGGCGCACACATGCAAAGAAGCATTTCATTGTACTTGTGCATGTGACAAATAAACTGAACTGAAATAAGTCTCATAGAAGAAGATTCCCCTAAACAGGAAAACACACCTTTCAGAGGCTCAAGGTTCAGCAATGAGAATCATTCAGCAGTCAGTATCTAATAATTTCAAAAGACACGGCAAAACCATCATAAAGTGATACACTTCAGACCACACCTGATGGGAAAATACTGGCATAAAGCTACAGGATTTAATATCCTGACGCTCAAATTCATTTTGCTCAGTCATTGCACTCACATGTCATCTAGGCAGCCTGGCGGCTGTTTGAGGCGGCCACCCTTGATGAGGTATTCATAGATCTCCGAGTTCTCCACTCCAGGGTAGGGGGTCTGCCCACGGGTCATGATCTCCCACATGGTCACCCCAAATGCCCACTGCGAGAAAGGCCACAGTGATGAGCAGAAATCGGGCCAACTAGCAGACTTTAGCAGCTCTCAATAAATCTGCCAGGTTTAAACTATTACAGAAAATTAAATTCTGCTATCGGACTTTCACGTTTCCTTGTTGGGTATCTCTAGATCTACCTGGACTTGTATTTGGAGAATCATTTTTGATACTGACAAATCAAAGATCAATGCATTATAAAACACGCAGTGCTGACAATCATTCGATCTGCACAACCTGTTGACCAGCAGGTTTGAGCTATATTCATCCCACTAAGCTCAGATTCAGCAACCAGGATGTGACCTAGATGGCCTACCACAGCAGCTGGTCATATCAGTTTAAGTCTCTTTGAGATCACAGGATTAAATGGTGAATAGTACTTTTATGTTGCAGAAGGACCTCATGATTAGTAAGCTCACAGTGCCCGTGGGTTGGCATTAGGACTTATATAAAATAACCTCCAGCTCAAAATCCCTCTTCCCTCTTCCAATCTCCCTGTGCTGGCACATACCACGTCACTCTGGGTGGTGTAGATGTTGTCTGCCAGGCTCTCCAGAGCAATCCACTTCACTGGCAGCTTGGAGGCCGAGCCCTGGCGGTAGTAATCCCCGCTGTAGATCTTCTTGGACAGGCCGAAGTCCGCCACGCACACCGTCATGTCTTCATTCAGCCTGAGGAAGGGATGGCAGGGTGAGCACAATCAGCTCCCACACACACTGGACACACCACACTCTGCCTTCTCCTGCTCCAACCCCGCTCTGACAGCCCCAACACACCTCTGTCACCACACTTCTTCCTGTTTGTCTTTGTCTAGCTAGATGCACCTTATCACAGCTGTTGGTCTCATTACACCACGTGCTTGCTATCAGTTGCACAGGCTGTGAGGAGAGTCTCCAGTTATTGATGCTATTGAAGGCTCGGTTCTCTGGGGGTGAATGAAGACAGGGGCCCAGCAGCAATCTCACATGCAGTTGCGCGCAGCCAGGTCCCTGTGAATGAAGTTCTTGCTGCTTAAGTACTCCATCCCACGGGCAATGTCCAGCATGAACTGTACCAGCGTCTGCAGAGACAGAGCCTGCATGGGGAGAAGAAGAGATTAGAAAGAAGACTCTGCAGTAGACTGGAGAGAAACTATTTAAAACATTTTTTAAACGCTATTACTGTTGTTGCTATTGTCAAATCAAAACCCTCTTGTGACACCAAAAAGGATATAACTACAGTTTTAGAGAATGTCTGCCACAGGATTTTGGGATCACAGAAGAGACTTAGTGATCCACATATTTCCCTTATTATCTTCTGAGAAAACAGCAATCCTCTGAAAAAAACCCAATTTACACAGGTATCTGGGTCTGCGCTATCAGCCCAATGTGTGTGCTGAGTTGGGGGGTACTCACGAAGGGCTGGCCCCCCATGCGTGACATTAGCAGGAAGGTGTGCAGGTCTCCGTGTTTCATGAAGGGCAGGATCACCATTGGAACAGGCAGGCGCTGCTGGGGGCGTCTCTGCAGACTCACTCCTGGGGAGGGACAGTCATTGAGCCAGCACTTTCTCTCTCACACACACACACAGCCCAGCCAGTCGGCACACCAGCCCACCTGCTGATAAATATGATAAATACCTCCAGACAACTCTCCCCTCATACAGACAGCTTTTCCCTCAACACAACAAGGCCCTGCATTTCTATGGGAAAGAGACTACTGCATAGCAAATGATCAGATGGGCAGTATTCCCCCATTCTGAGGGCTGGAACAACCAATCCCAAGTCAATATGGCAAATGGCCACAAAACCTTTTAACCTCAAATGCATCTCCACCCTTCTTTGTGTGCTGTTCCCATTTTTTTGCCAGTATTTCCCCATCTGTCCTCACCCATGTAGCCCCCCCTCCCACTCACCAATGAGCTGAATGACATTGGGGTGGTGGAACTCCTTCATGTATGCTGCCTCACGCAGACACTGCTCTACATCACAGGAGGAACTGATGTCACCTGCAACAGACAGGAGAGGGTCAACTTCTCACACATGGACATGGTTCTTAACTGTCTGCGTCTTACTGACCTTCCCCTGATCTGTCTCTCTCTACCCCTTCATTCCTGATTTGTTTTAAAAGCTCCTGGGGTTTCATGGCTGATTTGTCATATCGCTATCTATCTGAGGGAATGTACAGAGACAAATTCATTTTCTCCGACAGCAAGTCAACTTCTTTGAATTCAAACACAGAGATCAATGCTGTAATTTTAATTGTGTAACAGTAATAGTTTGTGACTTTTAAAATTAAGCTTTGGCACTTGAACTAACTGAGGGCTACCACAGCAAAAAGGACTGAAAAAGTATGCAAAATTAAGAATTAAGAATTACTTAAACAATTAAGAATAATTTTCCTATAACAGTCAAATTGTAGCTTTGAGCGTTTGTAGTAGAAGACTGTAGATACTGAATATACAATCCTGTTTGAAAGAGTCATGATTCCAAACTTAAAAAGCAGTAAAATGGAAAATTTGCAATGGGGTGAATGCATTTGTTTGGCACTGTACACAAAACCAGCAAGTTATCCTTAAACAAAAGGTCTGCTATAAAACATGTTCATTTCACCACTCCTACAAGTGAGTGGAGAAATTCATCACATCATTTGTTAAATTACCTTTAAATCCTCATTAGTGCAGTGGATAGCCTGGAAAACCTGATCTCATCAAGAAAACTGCACAAAAAACTTCAGGTTCATTGCAAAAACCTCTTGTACTTCTGCACCAGTTTTTCATTCTGGGCTGATAACACCATCTTGAAATTCAGTTGCATTGGATTGTGGAAAACTCACTTGCTGATATTTCCCATGCTTTCTTCATACACGTGGTTATGAATCATTATAGTGGCCAGATGAACAAAACGTGAACTGCATAGGTACGGACTTCTTGGAACTTACTAGTTAGTAATATCTAAGGTTATGAGATTAACTCACTTTTGAGCACTTTTACTGCCACCTTCTGGACTGAGCCATCCTCCATCTTCATGTGGGCTTCTCTCACAGAGCCAAACTCACCTGGCAGGACAGAGAAGCACCAAGGGACAGAGCCATTGCAATGTGTGAAATTATGGAATCACATTGTACAAACTGCAGTTGTATGTGATTTGATTTTTTTTAATTTAAAAATGTTTCCTATATTAAAATAATAAGTATCCTCACCTTTTCCCAGCATGTGTCCCAGAGTCAGTAACCGCTGTGCAATCAGGACGTCCTCTAGCTTGGTTTTCAGCTCGTCGCTGATACCCAGACAGTCCACTAGGGGGAGACCGACACTTTCTTTAGCGCAACATCCCAATAAACTCTGCCAAATAACTTGCAATAGAAAATCATAATGACTGTCACAATATCTCCTTTTCTCAGAAAATAAAGTATTTCTAAAGCAAATATAGGAGTTGTAAGTCCAGCTGTGACAGATCTTGCGATAAACCATGACTTGAAAAGATCTGTAGTACCCACTGCATTTGTGACTGTGTGGAAATGTTTGTGTCTCAAAGGAAGACTCACAGCCGAAAGAGATTTTTACCTCTTAGTGCCGTTTTCTGTTTGAGACATTTTTGCAGGCATGTTGGCGTGTCTGTAGGTATGTGTTACTCACAAGTGGATTCAGTGATCTCAGGGCCCTGTCTGTTGAAGGACCTGGCAGCTGTGAAGGACACTGTCGGCTCGGCCCTGTGAGATACATCATCAAACACTGCCCTGCAAATACAACACATGCCACATTACCACCTTGCCAGGCTGAACAATACTGAATGCACATTAGTTGTCTCTGCAGTCAGGATTTACAAGGACATTTTTTTTTCCAAAATATAGTGCAACCCTTCATTCTTTTTTTATGTTTTTCACTATGCAAGGCAACACAAACCAGAGGATACAAGTGGAAACGACCTGGATGTGTATTTTAACCAGAGAACAGGGGGCACTTCTTAACCCAAAGGGTCCTGGAAGAAGGACACGAGCTGCCCAGCCATGTACTTGAAGCTGATACACTGCATTCCTTTCAGAAACAGCTGAGAGAGATCCATGGATCGATTTGCTGCTGATCATCAAAAAGGAGAGATGGGCTGGACGGCCTCCAGTCATTCGGATCTTTTCCCATGTTCTTATCCAACCCTCCTTTTTCTAACTGTCTTTCCCAATTCCAGGTCCCAGGGGAGCCGGAGCCCATCCCACCAATCAACAGGCACAACACCCTGACCGGGGCTCCAGTCCATCACAGGGCAGACACGCCTCGGGCACATTATCCAAGAAACCAGTTCACCTACCAGCATGTCCTTGGGCTGAGGGAGGAAACCCATTTAAAAACGAGGAGAACATACAAACTCCACACAGACAGCACCCCAACCCCAGGCCCCAGCACTGCAAGGATGGTAATGGTAACCTCCACACCACCTCTCCAAGCAGCAGCGATATGACTCCTTACCCGAACTGCGTTTCCTTCTCCCTGCGGCGGATCAGCATGGCGATCAGCAGCCCCAGCATGACCGCGGTGAGGACGGCCACCAGCAGCGCCACCCAGCCGTGCCCACGCTGGGCTCGCGGCCTGGGAGCTGAAGGGAGATGCACAGATTACCCCTCCGAGCAGGAGTACAGCGGCCCTTTCCGCATTCCACTCACGACACGCATTCCAGACCCCCCCCGAGTGTCCATCACACTCAGCACACATACCAGAAGGGAGGGGCTGATCTTCCCAACTTCCCCAGCACCTGCCACGCCCAGCCCACAGGCTCCTCAGTGGGGTTATAAATCAACACAGGGAACAAGCTACCCAACCATGCTGTCAAAGCCCATTCCCTGGATGAGATCCTAGGATCAAATAGCTATTAACTACAGTACCAAACACGTGTCAGATGGGCCTATATGGCCTCCTCTCGATTCTAACCTTTCCTACGTACTTATACAGGGATAATCATCCTCCAGGCTCAGTGGAGTTCACGATAAATAAGGAAAACAATGCTTCCAAAACTCTATTTAAGTCTAATTTTTGAAATATTAAAGGCAAAAAATGCACAGAATAAACAAGTAAATATTTTGAATGTCTTTGCTACTAAATTGTCACTGTCTTGGGAACAGAGAATAGATCTGGGTTTTAGGAGAGGATGCTTGAAGGACACCAAGCTGTGAAGAGCCCAAGACATGTGGACACAAGCTAGCAGGGAAAGGAAAGGTTTTCATTGACCTTCTAGTCCTATACAGTAATAATAATTGCTTACACTTATATAGCGCTTTTCTGGACACTCCACTCAAAGGGCTTTACAGGTAATAGGGACTCCCTTCCACCACCAACAATGTGCAGCATCCACCTGGATGATGCGACGGCAGCCATAGTGCGCCAGAACGCTCACCACACATCAGCTATCAGTGGGGAGGAGAGCAGAGTAATGTAGCCGATTCATAGAGGGGGATTATTAGGAGGCCACGATTGGTAAGGGCCAAATAGAAATTTGACCAGGACGCCGGGGTTCTACCCCTACTCTTTTCGAGAAACACCCTGCGATTTTTAATGAGAAGTATTCTTCTTCTTCATCAGCTACTGATCTCAGTGCTCCACACCGATTCAGAAACAGCTTGAGTGAAACTGAACCAGAGAAACAGGCCAAACCAGTGCGCAAAGCCCACTAATGGTGTTCAACACCTGTTCGCTGATGCTTGTGTGTTTTAGAAACACATTACGCGAGATGCCTTCGGCATGCTCCGTAAGGTCCCTGGAATGTGTCCACCTTGAGTAGCACAGTGATGTTCCTGCAGTTTGGATTCTGCACTGACAGACTCACCCTGGGCTGGCAGCACCATGACAGGTGGGCTCCAGGGTCCACAGCCCACTGCAGTGCAGGCAGAGACCCGGAAAGAAGCATTGAAGAACTGGCCCTCGCTGGACAGGTTGGCTTTATTCTCCCTGAACTGCAATTCCTGCAGGGGGCAGTAATGCACTGAAATTATTTACCAAACCTGAGCAAGCATTTGTTTCCTGTACCAATCTAGGATTCTGATGCAACCAGCAGGGTTTTAGGATATATACTCGAAGCAAAAAGAGGAAATATGAAACTGGGATATGAAAGAGGGCATGCATAATAAAATGTTATAAAGATTGACAAAATTCCTGGAATTGTTTGATTATCTTTACTACTGTCACGATCTCTTTCAGTTTTCCACACCTGCCTGTAGAATCCCTCAGAATATACCAATATATCCTCAATCAGTTTAAAAGTTCATGACATCTCTGTTAGATGTTACATTTTAAACATTCACGTGACATCACTATAAATTACAAATGTAGTGGATTAGTAGAGGGAATCCAGGACACCTCTGGAAAAAATGCCCTTATGTGTCTGGGAACTGATCCCTGGGTTAGGGAGGGTTCCTCTGACAACCCTCAAACCACTTTACAGGGCAAGCTGACTCTTGGTGAGCCTTGTGGTTTAATTTTTACCTGAGCTACGGCTTAAGGGTTGCTGGTAACTGGATCCAGTATGCATGCAGTATGAAGTATGCATGCAGGGGAGAATCAATCAGACACACAAGGCCTGGTGAACTCTAGCACTCAAGCTACGCACATGCTCTGGACAGAGGGGTTAATTAAGCATGCCAGGCCCAACACCAGCAGCCCTTCCCCGAGCCCCACAGTAATTAACACAAATGCAGGAAGACCGACGTGATGACACAGGACGCAGGGCCACTGTACCTGACTCTTCCCCCCCAGCTCCCACTGCACTCTGTAGCCCCACAGCACACCATTGAGCTGTTCCTCCTCCAGGGCCTCCCAGCGGAAGGACAGCTGCTGCTCTGTCAGCTGGACGGTCAAATTCAGGGGGGCAGCCATGGGCACTGGTGGGACAAAGAGCAGTCAGGTGACCGTGTCTTCTGGACACACACACCTCAATCCCCATGACAGCGGAGCAGTAATCGACTATCTTCAGTGATCCAGCTGAGCTAGAGAGATCTAGATCAACCGAACACTGGACACACAGGCCTGCAACGGCAGCAGCAGAGATCTGACATCTGCAAGGAAACCTCTAAACAAATGCAGGTTCAGCTCAAACACCCTGTGCTAGAATGAAACATTGTCAACTGTGTGGCTTTTGATATAAATGGTACATTTAAAATAGTTTACGATACTCAGCCTATTTTATAAAGCGCCTTTACAAAAAACCTCCACAAAAACTGCAAACAATAAAAAACAAAGAATTACATACAATACACCAACAAACAATAGAATACAGATATAATAAAATCTATTGTTTTAAGTAAGTTTCAAAGCCAGATCTGAAAATGGAAAGGCTCATTATTCTCAAAAGTATAGGAAAGAGTTTTCCACAGTCCAGGTGCACAGCAGGAGAAGGCTCTCACTTAGGTAACAACGTAATTGAGAGGACAAATAAGAAGTCATAGGCCCAGAGCCTGTGGCAAGGGATGCAATTTACAAAGAAGGTAGTAACACAGTTGGGGAAAGATGCATATGAAATATCCTGAAGTCTATATATAATACAAACAGGATATATGATTGCCAGAACGAGACCTAGACAGATGTCTGTCTGGTGAGTTTTGAGCATACTGTACTAAAGGTTTTTTAAAGTGCTCTTTGACAACTGACTAAGTGGTGCAGTAGGCAATTTGGGATGGAATCCAACATGTTTTCATTCCCTCCATCAAAATAGAAACAGTTACAGGTAATGCGACCCCCTAATTTCCAAGGGTGTTCCAAGGATCTCCCCTAGAGCATGGTAAAGAGATGATCTGAAGCTGCAATGCCCGGCTTCGGTCTAGATGGCGCCAGAGACTGGAGGTGCCCTGTGCTCTACTGAGGAGGATTGGGGACACTGACAATGCTTCATTGTACACTTAGGGATTGAATCCGCTGGCACCCTGCCAGGTCTCCGAGTTTACAAACTTGCAAACAAGGTCAAACCAGACTCCTCTGCATCTCCCCCCTCCCTGCCAAGACTGCTGTTCCCTCATCCCCCCCTGCCGCCAGCCCTCCAATCCTCACACTGAGGTGGGGGAGGAAAGCCTGTCCATTCGTCCATTTATTTGTTTGAGGGCTTCAGGCCACGAAGCTTGGCGCTGTTTTTTTTTTTGTCTTTACTGGTGCCCCAAACTGTACGTGACATTTTCTCTCGGCTATAATCCCCCTTCATCGTTCACACAAAGGCCATGAACATT